GCGTTGCTCATCCCTCCCAGGTGAAGACTTCAACCTCAGCTGAAGAATGAATTAGAATCAATGAGCCTCTGCAGCCTCCACAGCTGAGCTCTTAGTGCACCTACTTTTCTGTCTTAGGAGCCCTGGCCAGCTGAAGTTCAAGACTGGCAGGACTTCCAATCGGAAGTGGCTTTTACCTCACAAGGAAATTCAAGGTGACCGGGAAGAGCTACAGGAAGTGGACACAAGACTGGATCTTCCCCAAACCCTGGATCCCGGCAGGTGGGGTGCTGCTGCAGAGTGCAAAGGCACACACGGGTGTAGACAAAACGATATTCAGAGACACACAGGGGCAAGCACGGCAAACGTGTACCTGAAGAGACACATAAGCATGAATACTAACATGTACATAGGTATTCACACAGAGAAGTGCACAGGAGTACACATACAAGACACAGACCCGCATGTACACACAAGCAGGTTTCCACAGGTGTACACAGGCGAACACACACAGATATATACACAAGCATGCACACTGACATATATAGGGGTTCACACCCAGGCACACAGGTACATGTACTTGCAGGCCATTTTGCGGACACACGAGCATGCAAACATAGGCAACTTCTTATAGAAGTGCACAGACATTGACAGGTAAGAAGGTACACGGGGCAACTCAGTACACACGGCATTGGCACTGGCAAAGCCTTTGCACCTGTGCTCACATATGCAGACGTACAAATGCACACTGAGAAACGCACACAGCTCGGGCTCACCCAGAGCGCCTGGGCTATGTATGGGTGGTGCACGGCCCAGGCTGGGCATAGTGCCAGCTGTGACACAAGATGCCTGGGAGTCAGCAAGATCTGCCCGGTCTGTTTCCCAAGCTTTAGACCACTACACAATCACAGAGAGGCCTAGAGGCTTTCACCTCCCAGGTCCCAGAGGCCTGACACATAGCAGGTGTTTCACCTGACGTTATCGCTCACTCCTCATGTGCCTCCTCAAACCACCCCACCGCCATGGCAGGACCTGGTCGGAGGATCCAAGAAAAGCCTCTACCAGTTCCACCCAGCCGACCTCAGAAGACTCCAAAATTGGAGTTCTGGAACTGGAAATTTCTAGGAAGGGTGTCTAGGACACACAGCAACCAGGAATTCGAAGCCCCAACCACCTCATGACCCTCTGCTCTGAAAACATACCTGCCCCATGCAGGAGTTGAGACCTTTCGCTTTAGACTGCCTCTACACCCCAGTGAAGGAGACAGGACAATATCCCACACACAGAAACTTTCCCAGGCCTCAATCACAAAGCCCCATCCTGCCCTAACTATGAAGAAAGTGATCTGAAGCTGTGCTTAGCCCGCTCTAGGTCCAAGGCTTCTGTGCAGGTCTGGCCCTCCCCTGCGAGCTGTGTGAAACTCAATTGTTCCCTGGAGTAAGCGCAAGGACCTCCCACTGAGAACAACAAGTCCTTTAGGGACTGCACACACACACATTAATACAGCTTTCTTCCGATTAGCAGACCAAGCCGCCCACCGCCTGGCCTCCATCTTTCCAGCTCCATCAGAAGGTGAGGCTGAGATGGAGAGTTTCATGAGCCTACTGGCATGAGAGGCCCTCCTTCTGGGTCTCTGAAGAGCCTCAGCAGGCACCTGCTGGCCCGAGATTGTGTAGGCCCAATGGGTACAGCCATCAGAGGTAAGTGGCTTGCTAAGGAAGTTCTGGTTGAGCTCACCCTCAGAGGGCCTGGGAATCTGAAAGACCCAACAAACTTAGAAGTGGTGCCTGCCCTTGTCTCCATTTTCTGTAGGGGAGGGTTCCTGTCAGGCAAGGGGAAGGGACCCAGATGCGGGATCCAGAAGACACTAGTAGACACACAGCCCAGTATCTGTGTGGTTAAACAATCCAGGGATCCTGCTGCTAAGGCTTCATGCAAAAGAATCAGAAAGTGGGCCAGAAGGAAGCTAACGCCCACGTCATAGACAAAGCAGTCACCCACAGAGGCAGGGCCAGGGCAGGACCAGGGCAGACAGGTTGAGCTACCGGGCAAGGCACTGCTCCCCAGACGGAGCCTCAAAGGAGAGCAACGGGCTGAGAGTCCGGGAAACACCCTTCTCCAAACAGCTGTACAAGTACAACAGAAATACCATGGGGCATTCCAAGGCGGGGTCCTTCTACCTGGGCTGCAGACTTTGCGGGTAGTGCCTCCTCTTTCTGAGTCTTGGGAGGAGAAACAGTTCATGGGTTACATATAAGAACGGCTGGGTGACATGAGGGCCAGGAGTAAGGATGTGATGTGGACGGCAGCTTCCTGTACCTCCCAGACTCTCTTCTTGATCATTTCCAACCACTGGGCCATCTAGCTCTCTCCTACCCAGCCCCCTGCCTCAGAACCTCCATCCCTCGGGATGTAGGTATTGCACGGCCCAAGTCTCCTGGCCCTCACTCTCTCCAGTCCCTTAAGTCATAGCTGGCAAGTGTGTGTGTACATGCTTTAACACTCCAACTGGATTTGAATATTTTTAGCAGGGACTGAGGCAAGTGTCACCCTGTAGTCTTGGCTGGTCTCGAACTTTCAGCAATCCTCCTCCTGTCTTCCCCTCCCAAATGCTGAGGTCACAGAGAAGCACCACCAGGCCCAGACAGCACATACTTCTTTCTTTTTTTCTCTTTCTTTCTTTCTTTCTTTCTTTCTTCTTCTTTCTTTTTTTCTCTTTCTTTCTTCCTTCCTTCCTTCCTTTCTTTCTCTCTCTCTTTCTCTTTCTTTTTTGAGACAGGGTTTCTCTTCGTAGCCTTGACTGTTCTGGGCTCACTTTGTAGACCAGGCTGGCCTCAAACTCACAGCGATCCACCTATCTCTGCCTCTCTGAGTGCTGGGATTAAAAGGCATGCACTACCAAGACCTTGGTCAGCACACACTTCTTAATTGCTAGTCACCGTCCTCCCTGACACTTTCAGATTTTTGTGGTCTGTAATGAGCTCAGGCAGAGTGATCCTGGGAAATCCACATTTCAAGCATTTCTGGTGGCTGAGAACCCCCTGTCAAAGAACAAGCAATGGCACAGCAGGCTGGAATCCAGGAGCCAACTTTCTAACTCTCCAGAAGGACCAGAATTTTTGTCAGGAAGCTAGGAACGTCCTCACTGTGCTGCCTCATCTCCTGCCAGCTACCCCAAGTCCTCAGACAAAATACCCCTTGCTACGGTGTGCTCCCCCTGTGAGGACATAAAGGAAACAAGGGTAGTGATTTGAGGCCTTGCCACCAGTGGCTCTGTCTGCCTGGTCACTTTTCCCCTTGCTCAGCATTTACTCAACAACCAGCAGATGGTGCAGAAAATGTGCCGGCTGGCCCCTAATCCGGCTGTAAGGGCAGGCTTGGCATGTGACCACTAGAGAGCCAGGGCAACATACTCAAAAGAGACAGGGATAAGATCTCCATCGGAGACACAGCTTTTCCGGGTGACACCACCTCACCTACTGTTTGCATCGTGCATAAACCACCCCATTTTCACCCAGTCACAAAACCCATTTGTCATGAAGCTGACGGCCTGGAATGAAGTTTAAAAGTAGCACTCAGACGGGCCATGGCCATTACCCCTCGACTGCACAATAATCCGACCCACAGGACCACTAAGAAGCCTCCAAGCAGAGAGTACATATAGTATTAAATATTAATATATATCCATACACTCATATACCACTAAATAGTACATCTGACGGGGGAGAGGGGTGCAGGGGTCTTACGCTGTAGCTCGGGCTAGCCTGGAACTCAAAGCAACCTTCCCAGCTCAGCCACCCAAGTCCTAAGATTATAGGTATGAACCACCACACCCACCCCATCTGATAGCTTTCCTCCTCCTTTCTTTAGTTTCCTTTAGATTCCCTACAGAGTCCCATACATCCCAGGCTGGCCCCAAACTCGAAATGTAGCTGAGGCCGCTCTAGAACCCCTGATCCTCCAGCTGCCACTTATCAAGTACTAGGATTTCAGGTGTGCGCCAAACACATCTGGTCTTTATTAACCAGAAATAGTTCTTCCAAAATTTCAGTCAGCAGTTTCTGCTCTACAAGGACCATTCTGACTGTGGCCCATCAGAATTGCACCGCTGCCCTGCACCCCAATAAGGACCATTATCTTTTCATCAGTAACATTTTTCTTTTGAAAAACGAGAGATCCCGTTCAAAGGCACAGAATGCCTGCTTGCACAGGGCCTCTGCCAAGGAGAAGACACTTTAATCACCCCCGTCGGGTGGCACAGTGCTCCCTGGGCAGAGTACTGGTGATAATGTACATTTTTAGTATTTGCAAAACTAAGGGGAACTTGGAGCTGGCAAGGTGTCATCAAGCCTTTGTGAAGTGCTTCCCTTGGTACCTATAAAGCCTCCTGCAACCACTGTACGTTCATTAAGACGCGGCCTCGTGCAACCCTTTAGCGTATTAACTACAGGTCTCATAAAATGAAGCTGGCGAGCCTGTAAAAGAGCCCGGGTTCAATTTTATGGCTTATTTCTTAGGGCTTCTCCGATGAGCTCAGACAGCAAGCCAGAAACCTCCTGCAGCCGGGGAGCTGGGTGTGCCACCAGACTGCCGTGGTGTAGCAATCCTGTGGAATGAGTTACTAATTCACAGTACAGTGGGGCTCCTAATCCCGAGGGTTCAAAACATCTCATCAAAACCAAGCCCGTCCCATCATTATTCCCAACAGGCTGTGTCTGGCCCCAAAGTGGGGCCAACACGCAGACAGCCTTCCAGGCTAAGGGTGGGTGTCTTGAGATGAGCAAGGGAGACAAGGGAAACGAAGGGTTCAGGCACCCCTTGCCACCAGCACTGAAAACGAGATGCGCACAGAAGACTCCGGGTACCCGGCGCGGAATCGCCTGCGAATAGGGCCCTGCAGATGGCACGGTTCCCCGGGACCCGCGCCTCGGCCCCACCCTCTCCACCTGCGGACGAGGAGACACGCCCTCTCCTGGAGGATGGAGGGCCACCCCGGCAGGTGAGCGTCTCTCGGGACTCACCTGCGTGAAGTACAAGTTCATGAGCGTGAGGGTGAAGAACTGCAGACACACGGGGAAGCAGTAGAGCAGCCAGAAGACGAAGGGGCTGAAGGAGTTGGCTGCCACAAAGTCTCGGAAGTAAAAGGAGAAAAGCACGGTGCGCAGCGAGGCCCAGAAAAGGCAGAGGAAGAGGAAGACGCTCTGGTAGCTGAGCCGCTTGTGGCGGTAGCGCAGCACCAGCCAGAGCTGCGCGTAGATGAACACGAAGAGGAGCGCGTAGAAGGCTGTGTAGACGGCGGTGAGGCCGAGCTTCACGTAGGGCGGCACCGCGGGGCTCAGCGTGGGCGGCAGCGACTCGTTGCGCCCCGGCTCCCACAGAGGCGCCTCCATCGGGCTGGGGCCGCTCGGGCTTCATCGGGGCTCGCAGCCTCCGGCTCCCGGGTACCGGCGCATCGCGCCGCGGCCGCCGCTCCAGAGCCCAGCCGGGAAAACAAGCCGCACTTCCTCCCGCCGCACCACATGATCTGCTGGGCGGCCTTTGTCTGCGATTGGCAGGGCCGCGCCCCCAGGAGCGCGCGCCCGCCCACCCGCCCGCCCATCGCGGCCCCGCGCGCCCCTGGGTGCGCGCGCCCCAGGGACGGCGGCCTCAGAGCTGGAGGCTGGTGGGTGCTCGAGGGCCAGGCACCCATGTGACTCTGCGCACCCATGGCCAGGACCAGGGTGATCCGCACGCCTGTGCACTGCGCGCTCCTAACCTGCGTCCTAACCGCGCGCGCCTTTCGGGACGCCGCGGCTGGAGCTGGGGAGACGTCTGTGGCCTTGACCGGTGCGCTCCGCGTGATCCCGCGACCGGGAGCATCCGTGTAGGGCATCCTATCGATGGCCCTGGGGAGCATCCACGCGCCCCCGCACTGGGCGCCCCCCTCATAGCACGCACCCCTGATCAGTTCGTCTCTTTGACTTCTCGCGCCTTCTGGTACTGGAAGAGATTCGTGCCCCTGACCGAGCATCCCCTCTCTCACACCTAAACTCTGCGCCCCTGACCCCACCACAAGCCTGCGCACTCCGGTCTGCTGCTGGCGTCTCGCTGGGGGTGTGGCTTGGGGGCGTGTCTGCGCACTTGACCTGGTGTTTTCTGCTGAAGGCCTGGTTTTGCAGTTCACTCTTATTTAAAAAAAAAAATACCGCTTTGCAAGTTCCTTCTCCCGTACACCCACACGGTCACCCGTACTTAAAAATAAAATTGTGACCGCGAGCCGGCCCGCTTCCGCAGCGCTGCTGAATTCTAAATGCAAATGAGCGAAGGGCTGGAATTTCTAGCCGGCCTGTGCTGGTAGCCACTGCACTCAGGCCGAGCTACCCTGGAACTCCTAACTGCCCGCCGCAGCGCGGCTGCGTCCTTATCCTCAGAGCGCTAAGGGCTCTGAGCGAGACCAGTGTCCTTCCTGCCGCCCCCATCCTCTCAGTTGCTGCTGCCCAGAGGGTCTCGCAGATGGCGGATGGCGTTGACTCAGTTTATCCCCAAACCTGAACCATGCTCCCTTTATAATGGTAGTGTCCGGAGTTGGTGAGTTCTGAGCCCTCAAGAAACCAGGCTGCACAAGTGGCAGGCGGATCTCTGTGAGTTCGAGGCCAGGTCTACAAAGCGAGATCAGGAGAGCTAAGGCTACACCGATAAACCCTGTTTTCTAAAACCAAACAGAAAAACAGGCTACCTGTGTGCAGGTGTAGCTAGGGGAGCAGTTAGCAGAAGCAAAAGGAAGGAACTGGATTTTAAAGGGACCACTTCATTTCTTCTGATTCCCTTTCTCATTATTAATATTTCGTACCTAATTGCATGTTCTTTTGGGTTAATCAGCCAGGCCTAACGTGAAGCTGGCTTTTCATGGAAATTGCGATTTACACCCTCCCTCAACTAAACAAGGTCAGCGTGCCTTCCGAGTGGAGTTCCTGATCTAATTCTGATCTTTCCTGGTACGCACCTACTTCTGACTTGATCCACTTCAGTGGAATAGATAGACACGGAACAGCTGTGTCTGTCTTTCTAAAGATGATGCATGACTGTTATTCTCCAGCTTGGTTCCCCTTAACTGCACCTTCTAGAGATCAATATCCCCCCCGTTTACTGAACTCCTAAGAACGGATGCACAGTACCAACCCCTGCTAAAGTCCTGAGCAAAACAACTCTTTCATGCTTTTCTCAATCTCTGGCCCAATCCTTTCACCTATCCGTATGGCAGCATTTCCTCCAGAAACTTTGTTTTTAAGACAGGGTCTCAATTTGTAGCTCAGGCTATCCTGGAACTCACTGGGCTTTGAACTCGAGATCATCCTGCCTCTTCCTGCTGGGTCACCAATGCACTTAAAAGACCAGAATATTTACCATGTGCTGGCCGCTTAGGCTGAACGCTCTCTTTCCAAAAAATTCCCTGTCTAATTGTCAGTCATCTTGACATCTCGGTAAGTTTCCTTGGGATAGAAACATTTAGTATTATTTACTATCAGCTCCTCTGGCAGGTTAAAAAAAAATCTGTCTCCACTTGATTATACTGAAGAGATAGAATATGCCCTTAGAAACCAGTCTTTAAAATTTGTCCTATACTGTACAAGAGTACCTCTTGATCTAAGATGGCTGCTTGCTCTTCAACTATTGTGTCCACAGCCCAGGCAGGCATCAGAAAGAACAGATGGCTGAAGAGCATTTGACCTTTCTTGTTTCTGGAGCCATCCCAGAAAATGATGCCCATTCATCTAACTTCTACTTATTAGCAGAATCCGATTACCTTAGTAAGCTAGCTACAGAAGTGGCTGGGAGACATTATTCACTTTCTATGGTGCTGTACAGTTCTGAAAGTCACACTTCTGATATTATGGATGAAGGGAGAATGGATGAAAGAGGAACAATCCAGCTGCACCATACCTTCAAAAGAACGCCAACCCCAGGCTTGGTTGTGCACACCTTTGATCCCAGCACTTGGAAGGCCAGCCTGGTCTACAAAGCAAGTCCAGAAAAGCCAGGGCTACGCACACAGAAACCTTGTCTCAAAAAACAAAACAAAACAAAACAAACAAAAAACAAACAAACAAAAACCCCCACAAAGCTAATAATAGCTAGGCATAGGGATGGGGTAATGCGTCTTGACAGTTACAGAGGTAATACACCTCTGGGCATATCTGGAGAAGGCACTAAAGTAGGTTTACTGAGATAAGAAGATTCACCATAAATGTGGATGGCACCATTCTCTGAGATGGAGGCAGAGGCCACATAAAAAGAAAAAGGCAAGCTGCATGCCCACATTCATCTATTTCTGCTTCTTGACTCTGGATGCAATGTGGCCAACTAAATGTCTCATATTCCTTCTGCCCTGCCTTTCCCGCCATGATAGGCTGTATCCTCAAACTGTGAGCCAAAGCAAACCCATCCTTAGACTGTTTTCACCAGGCATTTTTCCACAGCAACTAGAAAAGTAACTAGTACACATGGTTACTTTTATTAAGTATTAAGATGCCTATCTCTAGAAGGAGAGAAAAACAAATGGAGAAGTATAATTACTTCAAACAGATAAATACCTACGACATGGCAAGGAGAAAAATAGCGGAAGTTAGGGTCCTTGTTATGCAGCTGGTCCTAAGGATGGTGTTATGGACTCCTCACTTGAGGCTCTTGTGAGTACTCTTGTGAGTACTAGGAAAGTGCTCTAACTTTGAGCCACAACTCCAGTCCTCCCTTTCTCTCTATCAGGTCCCTCAGGGAGAATCCTCATGAGGGTCTTAGCATGTGAGTGTTTGCCCTTGGATGTGCCACTAGTGGGAGGACACATTGACATGGCTGGATGCCACCCACTCACCTCCTTTAACTCATCACATAAGCACAACCCTTGATCTTCACTATCAGAGCAAACATGGTAATCCTAGCAATGATTGTCATCATACTCAGCAGCAGCAGTACAACCATCACCATCATCCTAACCATTACATCATCATAACCCTCACAGCCATCTAGTCATCATTATCATCAGAGCCATCACCATCATCTAGTTTTCACAGTTTTCACAGACATAAACTATAAACAGTTATCATAGCCACCACAGTCATCATAGCCATCACAGTCATCATCACAGCCATCATCACAGTCATCACAGTCATCA